ACGTGGGACGAAGGGGCAGGACGGACATAAAAGCTATTTATGGTCATCGTGTGAATGATACACAACTCAGTGAGGCTGAGCACCTTTGGGAACCACATGGATGGTTTGTAAATGGAGAGGGTCAGTGCAGTGGTGCGTCTTATATCGGAGCTCAGAAGGCAGATCTGTATTGCTCTAGCGTTCGCGCGCAGTTCACGAAAAACGCTACTTGACGATTGACTGGCTAAGATTCTGGACGTGCCAGAGAATAACACTCAATGAAACCGCGGGGTGTAACATTTTTGTTCACCGTGACGATAGTGTCGTGACAAATCTGAACATTTTAGATATGGATTAAACTTACGTAGACCCCTTATGATTAACCCGTTCCGTGCGCTCTAGGTTTAGGTCACAGCGTGCTGCGTTGGTAAGTGACCACTTCCGTCAACTGCGACAATGGCTGAGTCTCGACCGACTACTGGCGTACCAACCGACAGCACCATATCGAGTGTTTCGAAAATTATCTTAAGCTCGTGCGCATACACCATGCCGCTGGTGCCGTGCCTATTTGCTCTGGTTGCCGAGGCCTGACATCAACCCTTCAAAACACACAACCTTTGTGATCCGTCATGCTCGACCGCACGTGACAATCTAAGCGGATCAATCCAAACCTTCGAGGGTTCACGTCTAAGCGGATCAATCCGAACCTTCGAGGGTTCACGTCTAAGCGGATCAATCCGAACCTTCGAGGATTCACGTCTAAGCGGATCAATCCGAACCTTTGAGGGTTCACGTCTAAGCGGATCAATCCGAACCTTCGAGGGTTCACGTCTAAGCGGATCAATCCGAACCTTCGAGGGTTCACGTCTAAGCGGATCAATCCGAACCTTCGAGGGTTCACGTCTAAGCGGATCAATCCGAACCTTCGAGGGTTCACGTCTAAGCGGATCAATCCGAACCCTCGAGGGTTCACGTCTAAGCGGATCAATCCGAACCCTCGAGGGTTCACGTCTAAGCGGATCAATCCGAACCCTCGAGGGTTCACGTCTAAGCGGATCAATCCGAACCTTCGAGGGTTCACGTCTGGCTGGCGCGATTTCGGCCCGGGTACTTTGCTGAAGTTTTAATGTTCCAGGAAACTTATGTCCAATCAAACGGCATTTAAAATCTTAAAAATGCATGCAGCACAACTTGTAAACGATAGCGTCTTAAGTGTCGCCTAAACGTTGTTGTTTAAAAGCTCAAGGCGCACGCTACGTTTTTCTGTTACAAGGAAATGCGATTAGTGCCTGAAAGGGCACTAGCATGGAGAAAAGGTGACGGCCGGGTGAGTCCAGTCGCTCATTCACAGAGTTGAAAACGCGGTCACTTTTCAAGTAAGCCGATCGGCCACCAGCCCCGCTCGTAGATCACGGTCTCTTCGGCAAGCCATCCTGATGAAGATCTGTTGCATACGGGTGGATCATTTTCCACCTTGCAGACGGGGACATTTTGATAATTTTAGAAATTGCGAGATCTGTGATGTCTCTCTCTCTCTCTCTCTCTCTCTCTCTCTCTCTCTCTCTCTCTCTCTCTCTCTCTCTCTCTCTCTCTCTCTCTCTCTCTCTCTCTCTCTCTCTCTCTCTCTCTCTCTCCCTCTCTATCTCTCTCTCCTCTCTCTCCTCTCTCTCTCTCTCTCTCTCTCTCTCTCTCTCTCTCTCTCTCTCTCTCTCTCTCTCTCTCTCTCTCTCTCTCTCTCTCTCTCTCTGCCACTTTTTTCTCTTGTTCGGCGTCAGCGCTACGTTCGGCGCTGTGCTACGTTATTCTCAGACGCGACGCGTGCTGCCATTTGTGGACATTATGGGTAATTCGAATTGTTTTGTGCTGCTCTGCACGATTTGGCATGTTGCAATTACTTCCCCTTTTTGCTTAAAAACCAATATCACCACTAACACCATGCCAGTTGGTTATGTCTGCTCTTTCAAAACGTTCTGCAATCCTAACAAAACAAAAGTATCTGCGATATGCATGGTTTTTCCCTCAATCTGGCTCCGCTGCCTTGGAATACCAGTCGGAACCCCTTTCGCTAGCAAATAAGCCATCACCGACGTGCATGTAGCGAGCTAAGCCTTAGTGGTCAGGACGTGCACCCATCAGCGTGCCGTTACATCATCCGGGACCGGATTTCGGCCGCAAGGCCAGGCATGCAAGGCCGCGGCCTGCCTCCCGGAGGGCGTGACGTCACTGATCTCCAGACAGCAGGCTGACGCGGCGCGCGCCGGGACTGGACTGGTCCTGGCAATGCCGGAGGCTACCTCCCGGAGAGCGTGACGTCACTGATCTCCAGACGACGGGCTGACGCGGCGCGTGCCGGGAGTGGGGCGAGCCGCGCTGCTGGTCTGCTCGAGTTGGCTGGGAGAGCGGCGACCCGACATGGCCTCTGCAGCCGATTTCCTTCCGGAACCGTCATCACTGCATCTGGAGAAAGTCGGCCTCGCCAAACGAGTGCTGAAAGGTATCGCGGCTAAGCCTCGGTGATAAACTACAGGACGCCGAGACCGCTTCCAGTGCCACAGAGGTCATGGCGCGCGTCTTGTTATCGGTGGGCTGGCAGTTGGAAACCTGAGCAGCGTTCATCGCGCAGGTCTCGTCGCTCCAATTGCGCTAAACTTTGAGGAATGCGAGGCAACAGGTGCAGGCGTATCGGGATGGCCTGACGCGAATGGTCAGGCCATCGCGTCAGGCCATCACGTCAGGCCATCGCGTCAGGCCACCACGTCAGGCCATCGCGTCAGACCATCACGTCAGGCCATCGCGTCAGGCCATCACGTCAGGCCATCGCGTCAGGCCATCGCGTCAGGCCATCGCGTCAGGCCACCGCGTCAGGCCATCGCGTCAGGTCATCGCGTCAGGCCATCACGTCAGGTCATCGCGTCAGGCCATCATGTCAGGTCATCGCGTCAGGCCATCACGTCAGGCCATCGCGTCAGGCCTTCGCATCAGACCATCGCGTCAGGCCATCGCGTCAGATCTAAAAGAGTCTAAAAGGGGCTGTTCGCCATGTGTGTGGTGTTTTAAACTGATATACCCGTTTTCAAAAGCATTCCATGCATTTCACGTTTGTTCTAAAATAGGAAAATATTATAATAAAATAAATACTAATTTGAGCGCTAAAATTATTTTTAAAATGCAGACATGCGTTAACTTCAAACCTTGATCACGAGCAGCGTTTTGTGCCACATAATACAGGCATTTGGGTGGTGCTGTCAGCTATGGCGGACATAACTTAAGAATAGCGCCGTAACTCTCAAACCCATTTTATATCAAAAATGATAAATATACAATGACAAACGTCTTGCAGTTTTCAATTCTGTTGTCACGGGGATATTGGCGGAAGACGAAGGTGTGTCCGGACATTTCAAAGGACAGGCCTATGATTGGCTGTTGGATTCCACTCTGCGTCCTGGCTGCCGAGCAGGCTTCGGTGAGCGTCGCCGGGGGGCGCGCCAGTCATTATCTAGCGCTGCTGGCTGCGCTTCGAGCAAGACAATGCCTAACCGGATATTTAATACCTGACTGCCTCGTCAGCCAGACTCTGGTTCTGCAGAAACCTAGTAGGCTTGGAAATGGCGAAACAAATTGGGATCCGGGATGAAGGAAATTAAATGCGCCTCGTACGCATCTGTCGTTACATACCGTCCCACTGACGTCACAGCGCGCGTCAGCCGCGATATGAAAGAAACGGCTTCCTTGTTTTCCAGTCGTGACTGGAAACCCACGCAGATACTGTGCCTCCCTTTACCGCCGCTGAACAACCGAGCGTTGTAGGGCCATGCAATTCAATTCCTCATAACCTCCACTCACGTCGCTGGCGCTGCCTGGCCCAGGATGCGACAGCTGCCTAGTTTGGTGGGGGACAATTATGACGACTTAACGATGCGTGCATTTGAACTGCGTCGCAGGTGCTGAAATCCTTGATAACCTCCTTGCAGATGCATTTGTTAGGGAACTCGGCGTATGTCGTAGTGCAGTCGTCCATGGAGCTACGGCGACAGCAGTGGCCATATTAGTGCTCACGGTCCATGGCCCAACCGGGGTTCGAACCCTGGCCTCCGCACGGCAGCTGAAGGCACTAACCACTTGGTCATTACGGGACCATACGGACACTCATCAAAATGAATCTGGATACACAGGACAAAACCAAGAAGCGGCGATCCACTCATAAGGCACCGCATGAAATCGTGACAGCATGCAGCAAACTTTCTTTAACCTGCTGTTTATCAATGCAACATAATCGACTATTGTTGAAATTGGGGTTTGACTCATCACGTCCTCAAGTCTTGGGTGCATCGTTTTACATCAGGTGAAAGTGATTTTCCAGTAGTCTCCGTGTGCACCTTAAAGAACGCATATCTGACAGCACTTGAACATTATTTCGTGGTCGCCACACCGTGGTCACATCTCCACTAATATTTGCTTACGCGGTAAGGCGCGCGTGCGTCGCACCCAGGACATCCAAAAAGATACAAATCTTGCTGTTTTACCAAGGGTGAGGTTAGGCAATTAGCACGTCTCTTTTGACATCGTTCAGCAACGATGTTCTCCCCGCACGCACAACTAATTCTGAATGTCTCACGTTTAGATATTTACTCAGAGTATCCCGCTCCTCAGTGCATCAAAAGCTCCAGTATACGCATCTATTGTACCTTCAGAGTTGCGTCGTGTTCATACCTATGTGTTTGCGGGCAAACAGACGTCGCTTCTGTAAGTCTCAAATCATCATTATGTGGTCACTTAATCGCACGGCGTCTCTCATTGACCAGGCACGGCTGTCAGTGTGAGAGAACATGACGCAAACGATCTCACGTCGATTACGACGGCGGCGGTAAGTAACCTGACGACAAGCATGGGTGGATCCGTCCAAAGCCGGCCCGATGACGCCCGGGGCGCCTCCGCACTTACCGCGGCCCGGTCACATCTGGCTGGGTTCTGTAAGAGCCCGCCCGGTCACATCCGAGGGCCCTGCTAGGGACGGCGGCACATCACCGGCCGGTGGCGCCTGCCGGGCGTGACGGGCGGTCACGGTTCCACCGCGGTTCGACCGGCCCGGCGGAACTAGGCGGCGTCCTTCCGGGCCGGGTCGGGCCGGGCCCGGCGCTCCCACCCGACGCCGCCTGGGTCCGCTCCCACCGGTGCTCGTCACGTGATGGAGCGACACGGCTCCGATTACCCTGGGAGCGCGTCCGGCTCCAAATACTCTGAGACCGGGCCCAGCTCACCTGGGAGCACCACAGGAGACGCCTTGGCACCGGGAGGACTCCGGATACCCCGGCACCGGGAGGACTCCGGGTACCCCGGCACCGGGAGGACTCCGGGTACCCCGGCACCGGGAGGACTCCGGATACCCCGGCACCGGGAGGGCTCCGGGTACCCCGGCTCCGGGAGGACTCCGGGTACCCCGGCACCGGGAGGACTCCGGGTACCCCGGCACCGGGAGGACTCCGGGTACCCTGGGAACGGCTCTGGATACCCTGGAGCCGGTTTGTGCCGGGGGTGTAGCGGCTCCGGCCCGCCTGCCTCGAATGTCTGCGGTTTGCTGGGGGCGGGCCCGGCGGTGGGGCCGGCGGTCGGCTCGGAGTCCCACGCAGCAGACGGGCTCGCTTCCCACCTGTAGGAGAGCCGACGGCACTCGGGCCACGTGGGAGCGGCGGTAGAGAGGGGAGACCCGTGCGAAGACGCAGGGCGACTGCGACTGTGAGTACCGGCCAAGCAGTCTGGCTGGGCAATGAATATGCTGCGCTTGCTGTGGCTGATGGCTGTGTGTTTGTCTAGATATGCACCGCACTACGTTTGGTGTACCTCCCATTGGCCATGACTAGATCAGACATGAGCCCCGCAGCCGCGGAGGATCTCCGATAATCCGACCCGACGCGTGCCTGCGGTGGACTGGGAGCGGATTTATGTGGATCTGGGGTGGATCCGGCTGGCTCTGGTACGCTGGCCGGTAGTCCGCAGCTGGTGTTAAGCGAATCCATCGTAGGCGTTCACAGCCATTAGCTGATGGAAGATTCCTTCAGCACGTGTCAATTATGCTCCATCAGGGGCGAGATTTATGGATTTATGGAGTATTTCGGGACGGGCCGAGACCGCAAGTGAGAGCGGCTGCTAGGGTTAACAAATTAATGGAGCCAGCTATGCGCAAATGAAACGGGGTTGATCTGAAACTTGCACATTTGCTGCCGTTATCTTGAAACCTGCATGCAACGTTTATCGAGCTCGTCGTCGGCTGAATGGCGTATTACATTGGCATAGCTAGCGTGCAGCTGGAAAACAGTTATGACATTCACTGTGTTCAGCGACACTTAGGGACATATGCAGGGTTTCACAATGGAACACAACTGAAAAAACGGAGACGGAGTTTGCACGTTTGCGCCACGCTGAAACGGAGCTACGTGGCGCAAACGCGGGTTATGTCATGCATGTCCTACAGTAATGTTGCTTGTGCTCGATCCTACTATTCTTACGTGTTTACTTGGACTTTTGTGGTGTTGACATTTGGTCGAGTATATACATATATATATATATATATATATATATATATATATATATATATATATATATGTATATATATCAACACACTCTATGACTTTGGTAAGGGCTGGAGCACGTTCCCTGGGGGCTACCTTGCATGTAAGTTCCTGACGACATTTAATGCGATTACCACTTCAAGCGTAGTTTTATGTGCATAAATGACACTAACGCCAAGTGGGATTATGTGAACGCACGCATCCACGTACATACGAGGGCATGCATTACCCAATTTATACACCACAAGGTGTGTACGAAATGAATTAATGCATAATTTCTGTCGCGTATCTCATTTATCCAGAGTGTGGAAAGCTCTTGTTGAAAAGCGCAGTCCAAATCTCGGTCTTCGGTTGAGTTTTAAAGCATCACCATATTTCGAGTGTGGACCTACCATGAATCATATGACAATGCCACTAAATACCTCATATGAACTCAGTCTGAGTCCAAAGTGACGGGCAACTATGATGCTGAAGGCATAAAACACGCACCATAGCTGCCGTGAAAAAAATGAGTGCTTACGCAACATGAACATCCGCCCAGTAGGCCGTTTAAAAACGATGCGCTCGTGTGGGGAGGGGGGGTCAACTTGATTTCATCAGATTCAACAAATCAAGAGGCCCAGAGGCATCAAATTCACAGAATGGATTGAGCTATACGTGAAATCACTTGTTTCAAAGTTTGAGGTCCCAGGGTTGTGATCTTTGAGTCAAATAAGATCAAACAAGAACAAACTCCAGATTGATGTCCAAAGTGACCCCTTCAACACCCAAGACCTCCATACGCAATTTAATTGAGCCTAGACACTTGCTCTGAGCAAAAAGCCACTTGTGTTCATTTCAACGCAGTGACCTTGGTTGACCTCTAGAAAGTCACGGTGACAAAAGACCTTAGACTGATGTTTCAAAAGTTGAATTAACATAAAGGATTACGCTAGGCAGTGTGCCTCTGACCACAAAAGACTGATCTTGGTCATTCAAGAACAATGAGCTCCACTGATCTTTAAGAAGTCAAAGAAAGATGTCTGTTCCCGTCGCTGTTATCAAGAAATTCGAAATGAGCATCAGAAGCTACCGCGTAAAACAGATTCTCCTGTAAAAAAGCGGCTTGGTTTTGATCTTAGCCTGACCCGCATACTTGGCAGGTGAATGAAATTTGCCGCAATCCTCAATTCATTTGGCTAATTGTCTAAAAATCTTCTTCGAGATGCATGGCTGTGTGTGACAGTCTGTCTCATCAGATTGAGCTATTCCCCAGGAATTGTCCTAACTGGTGTTATGGCCTGAGTTTGACTTGCCACAGGTCAGCGACTTAACAAGTGGCAGGTGTCATTGTAACAGCTATATTACAGAATTCTGGGAAATTAACCCCCCACCCTAGCGTGTGTTAAATCTCGTTCAAATGTAATCTTTAATGCTCAGGAGTAACGTCTGAAGACCAGAAAGAACCTTTCGGGATGTGCCCATGAGGTCTTAGAGATAGCTGCTTTACGTGGCATCGAAACATACTTTCTGGAAGGAACCCAGGATACGTTCCACGTGTTAACAAATGATATTAATGCAATTTCAACACGTGGACAAACAAAATAAAGGCACAATGAATAAAGTTATGTGCTTATCGTTTACGAAAAAAATGTTGTTTTCCTGATACGAGCACACATACAACAGGTTTTGGTGTCCTTTGATTGGCCGCATCATCGTCAATCCTCAAAGAAGTGGCAGCGCAAGCTACTCGACGCAGGAATGTTTCTTTAGTGGTTCCAGTTGATGTGATGCAATTAGCTCAGCAGGATGCTTTTTCACATGATCCTAAGATCGTACACTTAATCACGACATGTTCGTTTTCAAACGAATCTCACTTCTACGAACTTACAAACTGCTTTTTTTAGTTACAAACTAATGAGATTTTGCAAAGTTACAGCGCCACACGTCGCCACCAATGATCCCAAAATGGAACGCAGAAATATGATGAGGGCCTGGGCTACAGCCCGTAAAATGTCAATCCTTCACCACTACAGAGACAAATATAGGTCGTCTGACACAAACCAATTGGAAGATAATAACGTCGAAGTGGTCTTTGTCCACCTTCCATTTGCCATAGGCCCCAACAGTGGTGTTGTTAACTGGCGATTCCAGTCACTCTCCGATGTTCTGTTCCCTGTCCACCTCCGACGAGAAACAGGCGACACTTTTAATCACGTCCTTGATGATCGTGATGGAATTTTGTGGCCGACCGTTGGCTCATTAATCAAGCCGGGCGGGACGTAATAGGATCAATAAATGACCGTCCGACTTTGCTGGCCAGGGGCGGCGGCGCAGCAGCGGGGGACGAGCGCTACCGCCGCCCCCGGCGTCAGCAGCGCTGGTTAGGGCTGAACAGACCAGCAGGGTGCTGGCCCAAAGGCCACAGGCCGCTCTCATCAGCTGTAACCAGGAGCTGGTTGCCAGCATACACGAGCTCGACGTTGGCTGGCGCCGGAGTCGGTTGTGGAATCGGCCAAATTTTCGCAAAGTAAAGTTTGGTTGATTTCTTTAAAATTTTCTTGTGAGTTGAAGTCGGAGGGAAGCATGCAGTAGAAGCTACAGTGAGCCTACCGAATTGAAAATATGAGCCACGGAACATATTCATGGTCTGGTGGTCTATATGTGCACCAGGTAGGTACAGTGCCGATAAATACCCATTGGTAACTTTAGTACTATCAATTGGACACGCTTTGGTAACACGCTCTCGGGTGACCGGTTGAATGCGACGCGCTGGTGTTGGGGGCCAACTTCCCTTGCTGATATATCAAATACTCTAGAAAGCTAGAGACATTACTTTCTCAGGGTAGATACGAAGAAATGTGAGCTCATTTGGGTCAAACTTTTAGTTTCCGTAGGTAGGCTGGATTTGTGTGTGGTGACCACGGGATTAACTTAAAGTCAAACAAAGTTATTTTGTGTCAAGAGTCGATGCCAGTGTCTGAAGTGACATCGGTCTTCCCACAGCCACCTTTCAGCTAATTATTTCCTACTGAAAAGGCCGCTTGTGTTCACTTCAGTTCAGCTCAGTTTTTTAACCTTTAGAAGGTTGAAATGACCAAACCCTCGAGATCGTTTTGGTATCTGGAGTTGACTACGGCAGCGATAACCATCCTGAGTGGCATGTTACTCACAGAAAAAAGGCGGTCGAGCTCATTCTAGTTCAGTGGCCTCCCTAACCTTCATGAAGTCAAAATATGATACCTATCGTCGTCCATTCGCTCAAAAAATTCAAAAGTTAAACTCAAAGCTCAAAGCTCAAACCCTTTTTGCTACCTGTTAACTCTCACTTCGCATTTGAACTGCCAGCGTACAGATCACAGACTCCCACCGTTCAGTCTGCAGCGCATTACCGCATAAAGCACTGCAGCACGCTTTACGCTAGTCGACGGCTTCCATGCGTGGCTGGTTTTGTTTGTAATTTTCCGGTAGCTGCTTGTGTTGGGTGGAGGGA